CAGTGTAGGTCCTGATAGAATCCTTCAGACTTGTTACAAACAGTCCTGCATTTACTCAGTAAGTGCTTGATCAGCACCTGGCATGGGCCTGCACTCTGGCTGGGCATCTAGATGGGCAATAGAAGATGACTGTGTTGATTAGTTTTATGTCAACTTGACACAAGCTAAAGTCATTTAAGCATAGGGAGCTTTAATTAAGAAAACACTTCCATAGGATGCGGTGGAAGGCAAGCCTGTAGGACATTCTCTTAATTAGTGATAATTGGGGAGGGCCCAGCCCATTGTGAGTGGGGCCATCCTGGGTTCTGTAAGAAAGCAGACTGAGCAAGCCATGGGGAGCAAGTCAGTAAGCAGCACCCTCCACCATGGCCTCTGCATCAGCTCCTGCTCCAGGTTTCTGCCCAGTTTGAGTTCCTGTCTTGACTTCCTTCAGTGATGAACAGTGATGTGGAAGTGTGAGCCAAATAAACCTTTTCCTCCCTAAATTGCTTTGGTCATGGTGTTTCATCACAGCAATAGAAACCATAACTAAGACATTGACCCCTTTCTCTCTAGTAATCAAGTCAGATGTGCGGAATGGCCATTATAAAGGTTATGGAGTGAAAGTTCTGCCAGGAATTGTCTGGCAAAGCCAATGGTTTTGTGTTGTGGGGAGCCAGATCTCCCCAATGGCTTTACTATAAGAGGCAGAACTGACTCTATACCCACTAGCCACAACCCCAGGCGCCCACTTTAATTAATAGTCCTGGACAGAGGAAGGCCTTTTGTTCTATTGATGACTGCAGGGTGTGCAGTAGGAAAGAACGGGCGTGAGGGAGGCTCAGAGGACCTTGTGGAAATTGAGGGGATGTGGGATGCTGTCTCTCATGTGGTCTTCCTGGCAGTGGAAGGAAGACATGGCAGAAGACATGGCAGAGCCGCTGCCCTGGATAAAAGGCCCCTGTGGGCCAAGAGAACATAACAGTAGCCAGACTGGAGTACCTTTCTGAGGTTTCATCTGAGTAGACGGAGTTCTGGGCACTGCAGTCTCCAGGTGGTAGCAATGGCAAGAGAGGAATGTTAATTAAAACCTGAGCTGGATGTCCCATCAGAGAACTGTCTGGGAGGAAAACCATAAAAATTACTCAGTGTCCCTTGGAAGCCAACACTTGGCCACTGCAGACAAGGGGGGGGGGGGTCAAGCCGCAGGGAGAAACTTGACAGAGGCCAGACACTCCCCCCCCCCAGGGGGGTTATCTGCCCTCTTCTGCTTTCTCCTTCTCATCTGAATCCCTGGAAGGTGCTAGGGTGCATCTCCCAGCCAGTCCTTTCTCCTCCTTGCTTTTTATTTCTAGCTGACAAGATTCTTTCTGGCTCAAGTCAATCCTTGGATGAGCAGGGAAGATGAGATGAGATTTAAATTGAGTTTGCGAATGAAGCACCAAAGGATGGAGATTTTAACAACAGAAAGTGATCCAAAAGTAATGCAATCTGCCCAAAATGTCATTAAGGGACAGAAAAAGGGAAATTCAGCTGAGCATGGCTGGAGGCAGAGATTAGGGCCAGAGCTTCATTATCATGCCCCATGGAGTCGAGCCGCCTTAACACACTGGTTCCACAAATAAACAGAATAATTCAAGTACAGCATGGTGGGGCTGAGTGTCACTTGGACGACAGGCTGTGGGACTAGAAGAGAGAGAGCATGGGGACGTGGTGTGCTTACCCCAGTGGGAACTGGGGGGAAGAGCTCCCAGAGGAGGTGCACTGAACTCCGGCTAGCTGGGATATTTTTAATTAATTAATTAATTTTTGAGACAGGGCTTCACTATGTAGCTCTGGCTGTTCTAGAACTCAGTATGTAGAGCAGAAAATCCAGAAACCTGCCTGCCTCTGCCTCCTGAGTGCAGGGATTAAAGGCATGTGCCATTATGGTTTAATATTCATTTCTTTTTTAAATAAAACTTTATTGTAATGACCTTGCAAATAAAAGACATCATGTAGTGAGATGAGTCAGATCTACACATCTTCTAAACTATCAGAACAGCCAATCTAAAGCCGTGGAGCTTCAGGTTGGATTTTACACTTTCACTAGTAATTATATTTTTATGCACTTAACCACCACAAAAACCCTGACAAATGCATGGGAGTTAAAACTTGAAAAAAACAATTAGCCTTATATTTATTCCCCCCCACACACATAATATACACAAATATAATATACATACACAAACACATCCACACATGCAAGCGTACATGCCAGTGCAGTATACTATGTAGGAAAGGGAACAAGAAAGGGTACATATTAGGTGACGAGGAAGGACAGAATATAGGTGGAAGACACACGTGTAGAGCTGGGTCTTTGGCTAGCAGGTGCCACGGATTCTGCCCTCCATGCATGCTCCTCAGCCATTCACCCATCCTCACGAAGGCCATTTCACCCAGGATTCCAAATTCCTGGATCACTGTTCTTTCCAGTGCTCCTTGCCCTATCTCTAGGACTGGATGCTGGCAATCGCCACCTCCCTGGAAGCATCTCACTAGCCCCTCCCTCCTCACTCAGCCCATCTCAATTCTGTTCTTTCCCTTGGCCTCACCACCAGCGTCTCCTAGGGATGTGTGTGAACTGAAATATCTTCCCTTTATCTTGTCTGGTCTGCACCCCATGGGGCAACATGAAGGCTACTATTTATTCTTTCACACATTAATTTAAGATGCTTTAATTGCCGCTATGATATGTTTTATATAATATAATTAATGTTTTAATTCTGTGTACTGGCTTCCCCCAGGCAGTTTTGTGAAGGGCCCAATTTTGGAATCAAGCAAATAAGGAATAAGCAATAATTGAGGTTATCTAGGAATGCCCCCACTCCCAGGAATAAAAACCAGGCTTGTTTTCCAACAGGGATGAACAGAGGAAACGGTTTAATTTCTCTTTATCCTGGATTTGTTTGGGTGTCTTTAATGGAGACCCTTGGGTCCTGCTTTGACTGCTTCTGGCCTTTTTGTATGTGAACACCCATCCTTCTACCCAGGTTTGAGGTCAGTATTGAGGTCTCTAGAGTTGAGTACCCTTTGCCATCTTCTTTGTCATGGGGGGCTGTTCCTGGGTGAGAAGTGACAAGCCATTCACATACTATGAAATCCTGTGTTAGGACAGTGGCGCTCGCGTGCGTGCATGCGTGTGTGCGCATGTGCATGTGAGTGCGTGCATGCGTGAGACAGAAGACAGGATGGATTCCAGAGGGAGAAGGCAGAAGGCAGACAATGCAGTGGAGCCTGGCCTCCAGGCATGCTCTTCAGCATTTACCTGGCCTGTGCTCCTAAAAAAAAAGGCAACTTTTTCCCAGACTCCTACATTTGGACTGAAGATAAATGAAGCTATTTCTGTGTCTTTGTAGCAAAGGCCCTGTGGTGAGTCAATTGAGAATCACACCCATAAGCTCATACGTTTGAATGCTTGGTTCCCAGTTAGTGGAACTGTTTTGGAAGATTAAGAGGCGTGGCCTTGTTGGAGAGAGTGTGTCACTATGAGAGGGCTTTGAGGTTTCAAAAGCCCATGCCAGGCCCAGACCACCCTCTCTCCACCATCTGCTGCCTGTAAAGTAGGATGTAAAGCTCTCAGCTGCTACCCTAATGCCATGCCTGTCTGCTTCCCACCATGATGATCATGGACGAACCCTCTGAAACCGTAAGCAAGTCCCCACTTAAATGCTTTCTTTTGTAAGCGTTGCCTTGGTTATGGTCTCTTCACTGCAATAGGACAGCAAGTGAGACAGGTCCCACGGCTGCGGTTAATGTGCCACCCCTTCCTTCCCCATCCCATCCTCCTTTTTTCTCTGCAGCCTGTCCTCTCAGCACGGCCCGGATGTCCAGAGTGTGGAGGATCAACATCCCAAGTACCACCTAGTTCAAGCTCCTGGGTGGGAAATTTCAGCTCAAGTGAACTCTGTGCATTGGGCCCCAAGCTTGGACCAGAGCTCAGGCTACCTTAGCTGCAGAGCAGGATGCTGACCCTGCTTCGAAAATAATGGTGGTAGTGGAGGGTGTGGGGTAAAAGCACTACTTATGAAGCCTGACAACCTAAGTTTCAGATATGGGTCTCACATGGTGGGACTAGACAACTAACTCCTTCAAGCTGTCCTCTGACTAGCCACCCCCCCAATATTTCATGAGGAGAGGAGGGAGCAGAGGAGAAGATATGATGAATGTTGGGTGGTGCTGGGAAAAGGACACCAAGGCTAAGGTGCCTGTCATGCAAGCATGAGGATCACAGTTCAGATTCTTGCTACAGATCACCCCCCACCTAAGTTAGTGGGGGAGGAGGGATGACCTCTACTAACATTTCCCAGTGGGTCCTGTGATCCTACTAGAGGCTGGTCCACCCGGTAAACACCTGTCTCCAGACTCCGGATGGATGGGATAGAAGCCGCTGGTGGAGACAAGTGAATGGCGTGCATGTATGGAAGGATGGGACTCTGCCCCTACACGTGGGAATTTCCTTCTCAAGAAAGAGAAACTGAGTAGGGAACTCATTTTCTTGAATCACTTCCCGGCTTTCCAACTGCGGTGATGCTGGGGACTTCCTTCGACCTCTCTGGCCTCATTGGGGACGCTTTCGGTTCTGAGAAGATTCCCGGCAGTATTAGGGGAAATGTGGGTATCCTGTGGCGCGCCCCCTTGCCCCACCAGTACCTACAGGAATCCCTCTGCTCTTTGCAAGCAGGAGAGTCCCTAGTTCTGCTATAGGTGGCTCTTGGGGTCCCAGGAGGTAGAAAAAGAGCTCCCCTTGGGACTATGCCTCCTTCAGCCGTCTAGGTGCCTGCCCTTTAAACTCCGGGGGTTGGGGGGAGAGGAGAGGGGGGTATCAGACTCTTGGGAAGGTCTGGGGAAATCCCTGCTCAGCAACCATCCAGAGACCCTCTGCGATTGGTGCCTGAAGGCCCCGCCCCCTTCCTGGGCGGGGCCCTTGGCAGGGACTTTGAAGTTACTAGAGGCACTATCCTAAGCTGTGATCTGGCCGATCCAACGACCCGCAATGGTAACTTTGCGACAACGGCAGTGCGTGCTCTGGGGCTGCTTGTTGACAGCGGTGAGTGGCTTCTGTCCCGATCCCAAGGGATTTGAGAGTGGGAGATGGAAAGATGAGACAAGAGTTCGGGGATGAGATCTTCCTAGCTGATTTGGGGGGAAGGAGGGAAGGGGTGAGTGAGTAGGGCAGGCAAGATCTCTCTGGTGTTGACCATAAAATAAGGTGGGCTGCCCCTCTCCCCTCCCAGAAGGCTGGGATTCCATTCCGTGTAGTGCACAGGGGGAGCTTAGGGAGAGCATACCTGGACAACTATCTAATCCAGCCTGGGCTTAGGAGCTGGCCATAAAGACTGGAAAGGGGTTCGGAGTTGCACAGGAAGGAAGCCTGGCTAGGGGAAGGGGCGGGTCTGGCCTGTTTCCTGTCACTTTCCATTGTGGATAGATGCCTGCCATCAGTGGCTATCCTCTCCCTGCTAGTTGGGGCCACTTTCTTCCCCACTTGTGGGAACAAGACCCTGGGTACTTTCTTGGTAAGAGGGGATTTAACACTCACCACACCCTACCATACCCAAGCCCATCTAGGAGGAATCCCCAGGTTGATGCCTCTTCCCCTTGTACTTAAGATGGTATAAGAGATACCCAAAGAGAGGAATAGCCATGGAACCCAGGAAAGGGTGAAGAGACCAGCCTCGGTTTCTCCAGGCACCAGAATGGCTCAGACCCAACCAAGCACATCTCCGGGATTTTCAGAAGCCAGCACTTGATTCACTTTTGATTTAAATGTATTTCTGCAGTTCCTCATTCTGGAGGCTGGGAATCCCCTGACTACCTGAGTCTCATCCCACCCCTCTGCCTGGGCTCCTCATGTTTTCAAGAGTCTTTTTGGTTTGGAGACAGGGACTTACGTGTTTTAACTGACTCCCTCCGACTTGCCCATGTGGGCAGGTGTCATGTTACAGGCCTGGCTTTCTGAAGCTGGGACAGTTAGTGCCCTGAGCACATGCTATCAACCAGAGGAGTTGAGAGAGAATCTTAGGTATCTGAGGTTGACCTCAAATTTGCTATGTAGTTGAGGCTGACTTTTAATTTCTTCCTTTTCTCCCCCATTTTTTTTTTTGCATGTATGGTTTGTATGTGTGTATACATTTGTGTTGGTCATGTGTCTTCTTGCATGTGGTGGCCTGAAGCTTCTATGAGTCATTCTTGGACACTCTCCACCTCACTCATTCAGGCAGGCTCTCAATCAAACCCAGAGCTCCCCATATGGCCAGTGTCACCAGCCAGCTTGCTTTGGGGATCCCCCGTCTTTGCTTTGTAAGGCTGGAATTACAGGAGGGCCACTAGAGATACCTGGCATTTACCTGTGTTTCTGGAGATCTGAACTCTGATCCACACATTTATGTGGTAAGCTCTTTAATAGCCGAGCCCTCTCTCCTACCCTTGCATTTCTGTGTCGTGCTGGGTCTATGGGCTTGCATCACCATGACCAGTTTTATGTGGCACTTAGAAGGGAACCTAGGGCTTCGTGCATGTTGGGCAGTCATTGTACCAACTGAGCTACATCCCCAGCAGAGGGCTGTAGATTCTGACATGTGGCCTGGGCAGGGATAACTGTGGGGGTCAGCAACAGGAGAGGAGAGGAAGTGGGGAAGCTGCTTTCCAAGCTTTCAGTCGCACTCTGAGCCAGTGGTTCTCAACCTGTGAGTCACAGGGGCCGCCTAAGACCACTGGAAAACAGATACTTACATTATGATTCCTAACAGTAGCAAAGCTACAGTTATGAAGTAGCAACGTAAATAATTTTATGGTTGGGACTCACCACAGCACGAGGAACTGTGTTAGAGGGTCACAGCGTTAGGAAGGTTGAGAACCCATGCCCTAAGCAATGGCTCTTAGAGGGACAGGATGCTGGAGGAGGGTGGAGTGGGAGAGAAGTGGATGAGAGCCTTGTGGGAAGAATGGAGGAAGAAACAGAGGTGTGATGAAGGCTGGTCTGGACTACCAAGGGCAAAGTCTGCCCTTGCGAGCTCCAGTCTGGGCCCCAGGTAGTGGCTGGGCCCTGCCAGAAATAGCAAGTGCTATTTATCGAGGTCTTTCTGTGCATTGGGCTGGGAGAGAGATTGCATATAGCCTCCATTTGATTTTTCCCTACTCCTCTGTTACACAGATGACTAAAATGACGCTCAGAAAGGGGAAGAGGTTTGCCCAAAGTCTCTCAAGATGGATATGAACCTATATCTGACTTGTGAGCTTGCCACTCATGTGGCAAGGGGTCCCCAAGCTGTGGCCCTGAGAACTTTGTGGAGGAAGGATCAGTGCTTTGGGGAATGAAACTGGGGTGACAAGCTGTCAGAGGAAAGGTGCCTCTTTCAGATGCTCAACGATGCCGCCAAGGGCTTTCACTGCTCTTGAGGTAGACTGGGAAGTCTGGTGAGGTGCTGCCTGGGGATGAGCTGTTGCCAGAGGAGCTTTCAGATGCATTTCATTAAGTGATTTGCTCAGATACCCAGGTTGAATGAGAGCTGTCAGTGAGCTGAGTCCTGGACAGTCAGTCACTTTCCAGGGTGCAGGGTGTTGTTCTTTTGAATAAAAGCTGGAGAAGGGGGGTTGGGGTCCCCGGTAAGGGTCCACGTGGAGAGCATAGCAGGTTTCACAGCCGGTGAGAATGACCAAGGTGGCTGGCGAGGCGGAGGGAATAACACGCCAGGCAGATAGAGCTTAATGAGGAGTTTATTTAGAAAGGGGAATGAGGGAGAATGGAAGAGAAGAGAGGGAAGAGAGAGAGGGGGAGAGAAGAAGAGGCGGGTAGCTGGTGACCAAACGAAAGCAAGAGAGAGAGAGAGAGAAAGAGAGAGAGAGAGAATGGGGGTGTGCAGCAGCTTGCTTTAAAAGGGAAACTCGTGCATAACTCATAACTGAGTCCCCTTAAGCAGCCCTGTAGTGAGTGATGTAGCAATGACATGGCCATGCCTGCCCCGCCCATTGTTAGGGGGCGGGGTCAGCAGACTGCTGGTTTCCTACACAGGGTACCCGAGCAGACAGTCATCTGTGTGAGCTGAATACAGCTGCTGTTTTGTGAGCACCCACCACGGTAGACTGCCAGCTCATGCTTATGTGTTCTCTCACATTCTCAACCCAGGGCAGGTGTTACAATTCCATTTTAAAGGTGACAAAACAGGGCTGGAGAGATGGCTTAGTGGGTGAGAGCACATGCTGCTGAGTTCAGGTCTTAGTACCTACACTGGGCTGGCACACAAATAACATAGTAAAAACAAATCTTTAATGGCGAGGAAATGCAGCCTCAGAAGAGCAAGATAACTAGTTTGTGTTTCAGAGTGATCTGTCTCATTCTCAAACATGGCTCCCCACAGCCCTAGCCATGGGTATTTCTAGAATGTAGCCTGACTTGGTGGAACACAGTATGGGCTAGAGGGATGGCTCAGCAGTTAAGAGCATGTGCGGCCCTTGCAGAGGACTGGGGTTAGATTCCCAGCAGAGGATCACAACCACCTGCAACTCTGGCTCCAGGGAGTTTCTGACTTGCTCTTCTGAACTTTGAGGGTACCTGCCCTCACACACACATATCCACATATAGACACATATCTACCCTTAATCAAAAATAAAATAAATCTTATGGCTAGACAGATCCTTAGAGCACTTGTTGCTCTTGCAGAGGTTCAGTTTCCTAGCATCCACATGTGGCTCACAACTGTCCTTGGCACTAATCCCTGGGAATCCTGAGTCCTCTTCTGATCTCCAAGAGCACCAGGCATGCACCTGTGTGGTCAAAACACTCGAACACATAAAATAAAATAAACACACCTAAAAAATGTTATTTTTTTAAGACAAGGTTTCTTTGTGTAGCCCTGGCTGTCCTGGAACTCACTCTGTAGACCAGGTTGGCCTCAAACTCACATCCACCTGCCTCTGCCTCCCGAGTGCTGGGATTAAAGGCATGTGCCACCACCACCCGACTAAAACTTTAAAGTCTTTAAAAAAAAAAAAAAAAAACTTACATAAGTCCTCAAGTACAGGACTGGGGAGATAGCTCAGTGGTCGAAGCACTTGCCATGCAAGCCTGAGGACCTAGTTCACCCCTGGAACCATGTAAGGTTGTGTGTGGTAGAATGTGCAACCCTAATGCTCCTACAGTGAGACAGAAGAGCCCTAAAGTTTTCAGGCCAGCCAGCTGGGCGTAGACCCCATTTTAAACAGGTGGCAGGTGAGGACTGACACGGATGTTGTGCCCTGACTGCCACACACTTGAACTGTGGCAAATACATGCTCCAAGTCACAAACAGGGCAATGCATATGCACACACACACCAAAACAGACTCACTTTATAGTTCTTAAAAAAAATCACACTTTAAAAAATATTTTCTATTATACATATGTATGTATGCACGCATGCATGTATGTAGGTGTAGGTGTGGAGATTAGAGGACAATTTATAGAAGCCAGTCTTTCCTGCCATGTGATTTCTCAGGGATTGAACTCAGGACATCAGGCAGTAGGTGCCTTGATCTGTTGAGCCACATTGCTGTCCTGTCCTTATGTTTTCAAGGAGCAAGTCTCTAGAGTCAGACCATAATTAATCCCTCCCTCCCTCCCTCCCTTCCTCCCTCCCTCCCTCCCTCCCTCCCTTCCTCCCTCCCTCCCTCCCTCCCTTCCTCCCTCCCTCTCTCCCTCCTTCTCTCCTTTCCTTTCTTTTTTGTTTTTGAGACAGTTCTTCTGTGTAGCCATGGCTGTCCTGGAACTCACTTTATAGACTAGGATGGCCTTGAACTCACAGAGATCTGCCTGCCTCTACCTCCCAAGTGCTGGGATTAAAGGCCTGCACAGCCACACCTGGCTAGTTAATGCCGCCTTTCAAAGACTTTTAAAACTAAAATTAAGACAGGCCTAGGGAGGAGGCTCTCAGCTACGAGCTGAGGTTTACTAACTTGTTAAGAGTCTGTTGCGTGTATTTTTAGGGTTTCTTTTTAATTTATGGGAAGTGATACTGGCTGTTCTCACAAGGCAACAACAGACTTACAGTTAAGAGAAGTGTGTTTAAACTAGCAAGTTCATAGCATGGGTGGCACTTAGATGTGGAAATGTCGAGAGTAAGACACAGTCAGTGGACAGAGGACATGTTGAGAACTTTGAATTCTGTCCCTGTGGAATGTTAGAAGGTAGCCTGACCTTAAGGAACACAATACAGGCTGGAGGGATTGCTCAGCAGTTGAGAGCATTCCAGGCACTTGCAGAGGACTGAGATTAGGTTCCCAGCACCAATGCTGGGCAACTCACAGCCACCTGTCACTCTGGCTCCCAAGGAGTTTCTAACTCGATGTTCTGAGCTCTGAGGGTACCTGCCTTCACACAGTGTCTCGGCCTCGTTGCTGCTCAGTGTTGCCCTCAGTAGAATGACTCCTATCCTTCTGGCATCAGTTGATGTGGAGCTGGGGACAGAAACCATGGTGGCACTCGGGAGAAGGGCTGAGGCCAGCTGGAGCTGGCAGCCTGGGACTCTACAGGAAGTACTTGAGTTCACCCTTCCTGCTGGGTCTTTGGGAGCAGCGAGAAGTCAAGTGGATCTATTTGGGTGAGAGAGTTGCGAGTTCTTTGTAAGATGGCAGAATGACTCTCTGGATATGTTTTATAAGCACACCACTTGGCAGTATAGTAAGAATCAAGTATAGCTCATACTGTGGGGGCTTTCTTTTCTGCTTTGAATTTCCACTTCTGCTACAGTCTGTGTCCTGGCTAACTTTCAACATGTCTGTCAGAGATCCCTTCCAGTTACACACTTCTGTTTTTTAGGTCCATTTAGGACAATGCATTACATGCGACGACAAACAGTACCTCTTCGATGGCCAGTGCTGTGACTTGTGCCAGCCAGGTGAGATGACAACGTCTAGCCCCATACCAAGACCCTTCCTTCCCTCTTGTTTGCTGGCAGATGCAGACCCCATGTATGAACTGTGAACTCAAGGCTAAAAATGGCTCCCCCCCCCACTTCCTTGATACTAGAATGCCCCAGGCTGCCCTGTATCCCCATCTTCCCCACTCACACAGGGTCTGAGATGTCCATTCCCAAGCTCCATGCCCCAGACCCTGGCTCACTGGGTAGTAACAAGGTCTGCGTCACAGGGCTGACCTGAACTGCCTCATTTCTCCCCCCTCCTCCTGTTGTTGTTTTTCTTCAGGAAAGAGACTGGAGAGCCACTGCACGGCTCTCGCCAAGACCCAATGCCTTCTGTGTGGCTCAGGCGAATTCATGAACAAGTGGAACAAGGAACCCCGGTGTTACCAGCACACACACTGTGAATCCAGTGCGTGGGGCTGCTTGGGGAGGTGCACTTGAGAACTGGGTTGATCTGGATTTCAGTAGAAGGGTCTGACCTGGTGGGTGGGAGTCTGGGTTGAGTTTGGACTGTTGAATAAGTTAGTTAGTTGGCCGTCGTCTGTACCAGGAAGAGAGCGTAAGGAAACAGGAGATGATGTGAGAAGTAGGGATCTTGCAGCCCAGGGGGATTTCTCATTCATCCTTCTCATCTCTGCTCAGAGGAAGGGCTTCAGGTTGAGAAGGAGGGCACCTCAGATACAGACACCATTTGTGCCTGTAAGGAAGGTCAACACTGCACTAGCGAGGAGTGTGGAAGGTGTGCTCAGCACACATCCTGTGGCCCTGGCTTTGGAGTTAAGCAGATGGGTAAGTGGCCTGCCTGGGGAAACAGCTCTGTGGATGGAAGAAAGGAGCTGGGGTTGGGCAGTTGACTTTTGGCCCCCAAGAGCAGAGGGGATAGCGACACCCACTTGGACTGGTGTCTTCCTCTGATTAGCAGGAAATGGGATCTTTCACATTCTGGCCTTGGCTATGGGCAACTTCCTGGGGAAGGGGAAGGGGACTCCTGCTGGGTTGCAGTCTTAAGGGGCCACCGCAGACTGTTTCCTGCCCTGCTTGTCTGCTGGCTCCTGCAGGAGTCACATGCTGTGACACTGTGACTCACTGAGACTCTTGATGCACCCTCCCCACATGCTCCCAGCCACGCGGACTACCGATACGGTGTGTGAACCCTGCCCAGCCGGCTTCTTCTCAAATGGGTCATCAACTTTTGAAAAGTGTCATCCTTGGACCAAGTAAGAGTTGCCTCTCCTCAACCAAAAAGAAGCGTGGGTCCTGTTGCAGCTTCTTCAGCTACCTCCTCATGGCCACACTCACTCACTTGTGAATGTGGCCTTGTGGCTGGCCTAAGGGACGCTTTGTGCATGTTTTTTTTTTTGCCTGCTCTTGCTCAGTTAATAGAATCTGGACCTCCTTGTCTTCCTGAAGTCTCTCATCTTGAGGCACCACGACACCCCTTTCTCTCCTTTACTGTTCCTTGTCAGTTCTTCCATTTTCTTGGGGTGTGTGTGTGTGTGTGTGTGTGTGTGTGTGTGTGTGTGTGCAGTCATGTGCGTGTGTATGTACACTTGTGTGTACATGTATTTGTACACTTGTGTATGCATTTGTATGTGTGTGCACACGTGTGATAGCAACTTGGGGTGTTATTCCCCAGGCACTGTCCACCTTTTTCTTTTGTTCTGAGGTAGGCTATCACTGGCCTGGAACTCGCCAAGTAGACTAGGCTGCCTCTGCAGCACCGGGGATTACAACCATATGCCACCCAGCCTGGGTTTCTTTTTCCTAATGTGGGTCCTAGGGATTGAATTCATGCTTACAGTCTCCTGACTGAGTTGTCTGTCCCCCAGCCCTTCTTGACTCTTAGTTGCTTTTCTGGTGTTTTGTTCGGATTCTCTGCTCCCCAGTCACTATCCCCCCCTCTCCTGGACTGTCTTGTCTACATCCGCGGTTTCCTCTCCCCTGAATCTGTGCTTTGGGCCCCAGAGTCTCACAGCTGAATGTAGTGATTCCCCAACACCTCAACCTCTGTATAACCAAGCCCCAAGTGAAAGGCAGGCTCTGGCTCAGGGCAGTCACACAGAGCTGCCCACCTTTGCCTCCCCCTCCCCCTCAGTCAGGTCCGTGTGTCTGCTGTGAGCGTCTGGGGAATCCACCTCTTTACTCTCTAGTGTGGTCACATGGGCCTCAGCACTGTGGTGTGGTGATGGCCTCGTCTCTTCACAGGCTCCTTACCCCTTGGCTGGCTCTGCATTGTCTTGCCATTGTGAGCCCTTTCTGGATCACTGTACTTTAAAGCATTCCATGGCTCTGCTGCCTCTGGGAAGAAGCCCTGAGTCTGGTGTGGGGCCGGGTCCAGCACGTTTCCCTAACTCTCCCCCATACCTTGCACGCTGCGTTTGCACACCTTGCACGCTGCGTTTGCACACCTTGCACGCTGCGTTTGCACACCTTGCACCCTGCGTTTGCACACCTTGCACCCTGCGTTTGCACACCTTGCACCCTGCGTTTGCACACCTTGCACCCTGCCTGAGCACACTCTTTATCCTTTTGCTTCGGAGTCTCCTGCCTGGGAGAACCCTTAAGTACGCACCCCATTAACTCTTTACATTTGCTTTTTAAAAATGAATAAGCCCCTCTCCTCAGGCTCTTTTCTCTGTACTCCTTCCCAGAGATTCTGCCAGTAAACAAGAAACACATCGACACACACACAACCCCCCCCAACACACCCATGACATCTTACACAAGTTGTGGCCTACATTCTATACCTTGTTTACAGCTCACCTTCCCCGAAGGCTAGCAGCTGCTTGAATGGAGAGTTGTAGCCCCCCCCCCCCACCTCACCAGTCTCTTCCTCTGTGTTTGGAATGATGTCACCCACAGCAGGCACTCATCAGTGTCCACTGGTGGGTATTAGCCGATCACAGAGGTCCCTGTACCGGAGTCAAGTGTGCACCGGCCACACCGCACCACTTGGCTGGTGCGGCTGCTCTTTTAACTTTTGTACCTCTCGGGGCCCTTCTGATCTTCCTCTGTGGATCCCCTAATCTGCTTCAGCACCGGTGGGACCCTCAGCTTCCTATCTGGAACTGGAATGCCCCTCCTCTCTGGAGGCTTCCGCTGAAGGTGCTCAGTGTTTTTCTCACGTGACTAAGTACACGCTTTCTCTGAAGCCCTCTTTCACTGCTTCTGGCCTTCCCATTGCCGTGTCCCTCTCTGCCCACATCTCCCAAGGACCATCCATCCCACAGCTCACATCTCTGTTCTTGTCCTGCCTCTGGCTTCCCACTCTTCTGCAGTGCCTCCTGTGTGAGTGGCCTGGGACCAGCCCCTCTTTCTAGTTAGGTTGTCTGGCTGGGTGCCAAGGACACTCCAGCTGCCGGAGCTGCCCTGCCTGGAGCATACCATCACAAGTCAATCTCAGGATTGACTCTCCTGTCACCCTGGTCCTGCTTAGCTGGCCCCCACTTTCACAGCCACCGATGCCTTCATGGAGAAACCTCCCCCAAAGACCCTTAACATGGACCAGTTTTGCTCTGCATGGGACATTGGTCACATCTGCTCATCTTTCAGATGCTATAATTGGCTAGGGGGCTGTTCCTGGCATTTAGCTGGTGGAGAGAGAGGTGCTGTTAAATATTCTGGGACTTAGGGCATTTCCCAGCATAAAATACCTGTGGGTGCCAAGAAGCCCCACTGTGTACCAAACTCATCCCCTCCGTTCCAGCCACGAGGGTCCTGCCTTTGAACAATGCCCTCTCTGCTTTAGCTCTTATCACAGAGCCTGACCCGTACCATCCACACTCCTGGTTACCCTCCTTCAATGGAAGCGGTAACTTTTCCTTTCACTCGCATCTTCCTGTCCTTCCCATAATGGCCAGCTCAGAATGCTGCACTGTCAGTCACTGTCAGTGAGCCTGGCCTTGCCACTCGCTGGCTGGCTCCCCTGGGCTCGGAAGCCTTACGGTTGGGGAGCCCTGTTCTCTCTCCCTCTCTGCATGTGTGTGTGCATGCACACATATGTGTACACATGTGTCTTTGTGCAGCTGTGAGGCCAAAAACATGGTGGTACGACAGGAAGGGACGAATTGGACTGATGCTGTCTGCGGTGAGTCCAGGGGAGAACGGGTCCTGCCTGTTGTTTGGGAAGGGGGAACTGGAAGGGGACCCTGAGACACATGGGAACACTGAGGTAGGAGTGAAAGCAAGAGGCAATTTGGGGAGTAGTACTTCAGCTCCTATCTTGGAAGCTGAGTGAGTCATATCTGCTGTGTGAGCCTCAGTTTCTCTAACTGTGAAATGGGTTAGCAGCAGCACCTCCCTTACTGGTGTGGTATGAGTGCATGGCATGGCATTTTCCCATTTTGAAATTGTGAGCACAGGTCTGCTCCCGCTCAATTGAGGCGAGGGTACACTGTGGCGTTGTCACCGGTTAGCCTTGGTTTGGATGCTAGGATGAGAAGCTTGACCAGCGGCTGGATCACAAACTCAGATAACAACAGGGACTAGGTTGTCACTGAATGAGTAAAGAAAGAGACGGGTAAGAGAGCTGGGTCTGGGGAGTGGGCCTGTCAGCACAGCTATTTAGGAAGCTGAGGCAAGAACTCTGCAAGTTCAAGCCTAGCCTGGGAAGCTTGAGGACACAGTGTCTCAACATAGAAAGTAAAAAGAGGGTTACTGAGATGGCACAGTAAGCCAAACTCTTGTGCAAGCATGATGACCCAGCACCCCACACTTGTCTGGCATGTGTGAGGTCCTGGGTTAGACCCTCCACACTTGTCTGGCATGTGTGAGGTCCTGGGTTAGACCCCCACACTGTCTGGCATGTGTGAGGTCCTGGGTTAGACCCTCCACACTTGTCTGGCATGTGTGAGGTCCTGGGTTAGACCCTCCACACTTGTCTGGCATGTGTGAGGTCCTGGGTTAGACCCCCACACTTGTCTAGCATGTGTGAAGGCCTAGGTTAGATCCCCAATTCCGAAAAGGAAAATAAAAATACAGTCTTTTTGTTTTTCTCAAGATTGACTTTGTTCTCTTGGAAAGATGTGACTGGAATGGAGTGAGAAAAACTCTTGAGCTCATATGTAACATGTAATAAACTATTGTGAAAGAACAACAAGCAAGAGAAAGAACATTTTGGAATTATACTAGGAAAAAAAAAACAAATGTAAAAAGCAAAAACCTGCAGTGAACAAAAGAGCAAATTTTAAAATCAAGTAGGAGCTGGCCTTGCCAGATGTGTGGACCTTGCTTACAGCATCCTGATTTTGTCCCTGGTCCAATACAAGTTTATTTAAAAGCCACGTAGCCACCTATGGGCCAGAGTTTGTTCTGCTGGTGTTTGCCTCCCTATCTGTCAGGTGGATGGGATGGTACAGGCATACAGCCCCAGCACTCAGGGGGCTGATGCATGAGAACCCCAAGTTCAAGGTCAGCCTGAGCCACTTAGTGAGACCCTGTCTCAAAGAGGGTGGAATTTCTTTGTCTCCTTAATTGTTATGGGGAAGTAGTTGCACCCCTTGCCTCCGAGGCCTCCTGCCTTTTGGTCTTTTTGTCACTTGGAAGAGCAATGAGGACAGAAGAGAGACTTTATTTCTCTCCTCCACACTTCCATAGCAAATGTGAACAACGTAGACAGGAGAGCTGAACGGCCGCAGGGTAGGGAAGAGAGCAGGGGGCGTGAGAAACAGGCAGGCGGGTTTCCCCTCACCACATAGCTGGTGAATGCCAGGTGGGAAGTTGGCTGACTGGGGGCTGAGCCTCCCAACTGGAATCTCCCAGGGCTAGAGAGATGGTAAGAGTGTTTATTGTGCAAGCATGAGCTAGACATAGCCACATAGACTGTGACCCCAGTGCTTTGGGGGTGGGGCGAGAAGGAGAACTGCTGTAGCTTGTAGGCTGCCAGACTAGCTCCAGGCTCAGGAGAAGGTGGTATGTGACATGTGACAGAGCAGGACATCTGCATCCTCCTCTGGCCTCTGAATGCGCACACAGATGCACACACACCTGCACATACACCAGACCCACATACACTACCCCCCCCATGGATATGCAATCTCGTAGTTCATAAACATTGGCAGATACCATAAAGCATTTAATACAACACCATCCCAATGCTGCCGCTCGAAAGCTCTGACCTCAGGAGGCCTAGATGCTTTAGAAGATGCAGTTGCTTTGGACAAGGAGTGGGAACACCTACCGGTGGCTCTACTCAAGTCTGTCTCCCCAGGTTTGCAGCCCCGGAAAAGAGCCCTACTGGTCATTCCCATCGTGTTGGTCATCCTCGCCACCGTCATCATGGTGGTGTCCTTCTGTATCAGTGAGTGCCCCTGTGAGGGGACAGGGGGAGGACTCAGTGCTACAGAACCAGCCCTCCCAATGCCCCACCCCTTCTTTTTCTTTCTAGAAAAAGTGGTCAAGGAACCAAAGGATAATAAGGTAAGCCATCTTTGAGGGAGAGAAGCTTGAAAGATTGACTCGTGGGCAGGTTGGGAGACTCATGGCAGGGAGACAGATTACTACTCTGAGCAAAGTGCTTGCTGCACAAGCCCAGGGACCTGAATTTAGATCCAGTACTCACGGAAAAAAAACATCAGGGTGGGGTGCAGAGCTTGCTGACACAAGGTACTCCAGGTTCCGAAAGAAACCAAAGGAAACCCTGACTCAGCAAGTAAAGTTGAGAGTGACATTGTCCTCTCGTCTCCATCAGTGCATACATGGATACATGCACATACACCCAACACCACACCATATGTACACACACACACACACACACACACACACACACACACACACACACACACACACACACGGGAAACAGGCGAACAGGCTCAGGGTCTGTCCCGGGGTTAGTAAGGTGACAGTTGGCTACTCTTAACCCTACCCAGCTCTGAATCACGATCTTGTTCTTTCCTCTAACCCAGTCACTTCCCCATTGGGAGGAGCCAGGCAGCATTGGCAGAATAACCCTGCCAGTGCTTTCCTCTGGCTTGGAAAATAGGCAAGTCCAACCTTTAGAGGCCCAGTAGGTGGAACCAGAGGGGCAGCTTTTTCCTCTGCCTGACTCTGACTCTGGAAGTTTCCTGCCAAATTTCATGTGTCCAGCAGGGGGCAGGAGGTATCTGAGAAATCAGCTTTGATAACATCCCTCTCCCACAAGGGGAAGGGACTTGGAGGAAGGATTCTGCTCCTGGGGACAGGATGGCTCTGTGGCTAGGGGTGACCTTGGCTCTCACACCCTGGCTCTCCAGGCCTTACCCCCTGCTGTTGAAAGGGGAGATCCTACCGAGACAGAAGATTGCCCTGGCCACAACACTGTGGCCCCAGTGCAGGAGACATTGCGTGGGTGTCAGCCCGTCACACAGGAGGATGGCAAGGAGAGCCGCATCGCAGTGCAGGAGAGGCAGCTGACGGACAACATGGACTTGAAGCACCTGGCCTGAGACCCTGGAGCTGTTGTAGTGGCGATGGCATGAGGGCAAGGACCTGGCTTTGGATGACTGCTGACATTTGAGATTTGAAAGGAACAAAACCTGTCATGCCTGCCTCTCAACTTGCTTTTAAAAAGATGGAGGAAAAGCTTGGGTATCAGGGGTCCACAGAGTGCAGCCATACAGGACCCAGAGCCGTATCATGGTAGCTTTTACTCTCAGGAGTCATGGACGCCACAGTCTACGGCTTTGTTGCTTGTACTGTTAGAAGACACCTGATTGCCCATCAGCAGGGGACTGGCTAAATAAATTTGTAATGTATTTATGCAACAGGATCTCAGAAATACTATCAGCCGAAACAAACAAACAAAAGCAGGTAGTGGAATGATGGGTAAAGCGACTTTTAAAAACACATACCCAGGCAGGTAAGATAGCTTTTGTGGGTAAAGGTGCTAGCCACCAAAGCCTGATTACCTGATTTTGATCTCTGGGACTACATGGTAACAGGAGACAACCAAATCCAGAGGGTTGACATTGGACCTCCACAGGCACTCTGTGGTACATGTTCATGCATGCATGAGTGTGTATGTGCATACCCTAAAATGGGTTCATGCCTGTGATACCAGCACTCAGGAGGAGAAGGCAGGAGGACCAGGAGTCCCAAGCCAGCCTTGAATACATAGTGAATTCAGGGCTAGCCTGGACTACATGACACTGTTGCAAAAACAAACATTAACTGGGTGGTGGTGATACACGCCTTGAATCCTAGCACTAGGGACTCACAGGCTGGTAGATCTCTGAGTTTGAGGCCAGCCTGGTCTACAGAGCGAGTTCCAGGACAACCAGGGATACACAGAGAAACCCTGTCTTGGAAAAAAAAAAAAAAAAAAAAAAAAAAAAGAAAGAAAGAAAAACAAAAGCTAAAGCACAGCTTCTCCCAACATCCAAAACAAAGCACATGAAGCCCTCACATGCCCTGAAACAGTACTTATGTACTATATAACAGTGTGTAAGCAGGCTGCACACTGTACTTGAATACGGTCTATATAGATATGGAAGGAAAGCTATGATGCTGTGAATAAGACACGTAACGTGTGGGTAAAGCAAAGATTTCAGATTAAACCCTGAACATCCAAACTGCAGGAGTGGGTGTGGAGAGGAGGCTCAGTGCTTAAGAGCAGCAGCTCCTATACAGGGTCTTGGTTTGTTTCCCAGGGCCCACATAGTGGCTCACAGCCATCCAATTTCAGGGAATCCGATGCCCTCTTCTGCCATCTATGGGCACTGAACATACGTGATACATGTACATACTACACAGGTAAAACACATGTACAGAAAATATGAAGAAGTATTTTTTTAAAAGAATGATGAGGTCTCGTGGCAGGTGTGTGTTGGGTTTCCCATAATGCATCATTATTTTTCCAAGGGGACAGTAGATTCATATCATGCTTACATAATTAAAAAATCATCAAACATGCACGAAGGAGACTAAGGGTAGACATGCCAGGTGATGAGATATTTAATTTGCTATTAGGCTAGAAGAATTAGGGTATTTTCTGAGCTCAAGCAAGAGTGTACCCAGATTGCTGGGCCTCCAGGGAATTTTGCCTGCGTGCTCACATTCAGTGGTAAGTTTGCAAGGCCTCAGGTTCACAGAAGTAGCCTTCTAGGACAGGCAAGGTCTGTGTCCCTCCCCATTTTACAGGTGGAGGGAATGGGTATAGAGAGGGGGAGTGACTTGCCAATGGTGACACAGTGGTGTGCAGTGGCCCATGAGCTCTTGGTTCCAAGCTGTCCCAAGATCCAGCTCTGCTTTCCAGAACCTAGCCACCGCAGACACCAGCTTCCAGGGAGATCCTGGGTCCCCTACTGCCTTCTAACCTCCGCGATGCTTCCCACTCAGATGGTGCCCTCTCCTGCCCCACGACAGTGTCTCAGGATAAAAATAGAGCATCCTGTTCTCTTTTCCTGCTGTGCCAACTGAGGGAGAGCCTAGCCAGGAGGAGCAGCAGATGGAGTGGGAGCAGAGGGGAGGGGAGGGGAGGAAGGCTGGGGGACGATGAGGAGGAGCCATGCCAAGGAGGTGCCTCCGAGAGACTCCTACACAGACTCCCACTTCGGTTTAACTCGTAAGTCTCACAGTTGTGGATCCCCCTGGAGATCCCACTGCTTGCAGGGTGGGGATGGCAATGGCTGGTCCTGATGGAGGCTGGGCGTGGGAGGTGCCGCTGAGAGCCAAGAGAAGGACACCTGGCTTTGGCAGTCTTCCCAGAAGAGCTTCCAGGGCCATTTGGAGGCACCAGGTGGAGGCTCTAGTTTAGAAAGCAGAGGGGAATATGGCGGGGGGGGGGGGGATTTTGGGACCTAATCCTCTTTCCCTGCCCAGAGCCCAAATATCGGTGGCCCTGACTCGCATGGTGGGGTGTGTGTGCGTGTGCGTGCGTGCGTGCGTGCGTGTGTGTGTGTGTGTGTGTGTGTGTTGGATAGAGGCAAAAGACCTACCTGTCACCTGTAACCCGAGTAACCTTGAGAGAGTCACTGCCACCCTTTGCTTCCCAGTTTCTTACCTGGTTCTTACCTGGTGGAGGGCAGCCACCACATCCTCCTAACAGGTGCTGTAGGTGATGGTTGCTCTCCTCTAGGTTAGGGGTTCTAGGATTTGAAGGAATGAACACAGTGACCGACTGTGAGGTTTGTAGAGTGACAGATTGCTGGGCACTACCTCCCATCTTTCTGGTTCATATCTGGGATCAAGATCAGGAAGTTGCATTTCTAGCAAGTTCTCCAGGTGGTCCTGATGTTGCAGGATCAGAGAACATACTGAGAGAACAGCTTCCCTTGGCTTTCACACTGCTGACTAGGCAGTGGTTTTCTGTTGGCTTTGGGATCGATGCCTGGGGCTTCCCCTATCCCGAATACTTGCCTGCTGTAGCTGCAGGCCAGGCTGGGGACAGCTGGGAGAGTTAGTGTCTGGGAGCACAGACTCTCAATCTAGCTAAGTTGAGACAGGGTTTTATATAGCCCAAGGTGGTCTAAAACTATCTATGTAGCCTTGCACTTCTGATCCTATAGTGCTGTGGATTATATGCATGTGCCACCAGGTCAGATTTAATGCCCTTCTAGGGACTAAACCCAGGGCAAACAGTATGTCAGCTGAGCTGCATCCCAGCCCTGAGGGTATCTACCCTGCTTTCTGGTCTCCCTAGAGTGATGGCATTCCCACGTGCCCACAGCGAGCACACAGTACTGCTGCTTTCTGTTTGATGCTTTCTAGGTTCAATTTTCCTCTACGGCTGGCTCCCTGGCTCAACTCTCTGTCACACCGCTTGCCTCTGCTCCTGTCTCTGCGTCTGGAAGTTCCTTTAGAAAGTCTGCAGAACCAAGCATAGGAAAGTAACTTTAGTATCTCTTAGCATCCAGCTTGGCCATTGCCTGCAATGGACATTTGTCACACATCCCCGATGAAAGACTGGTTCCCTAAGGGCCTGTCTCAGTCTGAACATTGTAGGGAAGACCAGCCTCCTCCCATATAGGGGCTGCTCCCTTGTAGGTGGCACATGGAGGGGTGGCTGTGAGACTGGCAGTGGCCAGCAGGTGGCGGCAAGGTAACATCCTAAAGTTGTTGGTTGCTGCTTGCCGGTCCTGGGTGATGGCTTCGCTTTGAGCCCGCTCTGCATAGGCCCCATGCTTTGTAGATGAGGCCTGACCCACCCACCCCCTGCCTTACTCACTCTGCAGATTCAGTCTGACCACTCAGTGGGAGGTGTGGCCTCTTACTGCACCCCTCTAAGATGGGGCTTAGAGGTCAAACAACTTGTTAGAGCTGAGATCTGGGTCCAAGTTCACTCCTACCAGGACTGTGCTTGCCTGGGGCAGATGGGAGTCTGAGTTGGGCAACCAACCAGTAGAGAAGGTGGGGCTGGAGACTAGAGAGGATGAGGCTACTTGGGTCAGGATCCCTCCTGGGGGGCAAAGTCTCTTGGCTCTTTCTAGCCCATCCTGGGAGGAATGAGAGTTGTGTGTTGTTTCCCAACACACAAATGCAGCTAATTCCATAATTAAAGAGGTCTTGGCAATTGCCCAAGAAATCATGACGCACACTGTTTGGGATGAAAAGACTAGGAATCTCACTGTGTACAGGTTGTGTGTGTGTGTGTGTGTGTGTGTGTGTGTGTGTCCTGACAGGTTCCTGAGCCAGATCAGGTGAATGTTCTAAACATGTTATCTCCATCCTCTGCTATCCAGGAGGATGAATGGAGCCCTGGGGGCTTAGGCTGTACCAGTGCATTGTGACCTGGGTCCAGGGCACCAAAACCCAAGACTTCAGCATTGCTTTTGGGCAGCCTGGCTAGGCACAATGGACTCTGAGGTGGGCACCCTCCAGGCATGTGCATGCGGATACCCTCGGGCCTTGCAGTGGGTTCCTTGGGCAGCAGAAGTTATTAAAGGCTATGCCCCAGAGGTTTGTTCTCCCCTGGAGTCAGTTGGGCATAGAAAATTACAAACCCACCTGCAGGGGTGTGGAGATACAGGCTTAATTTAGAACAAGTGTGTGTGGGGGGGATCATGCTGTGGTTTGGGGTGGGGAGCCATTTCCTGAGACTAGTAATGTGGTCAGATAGGGATTCTAGAAAGATCAACCAGTAGATTTTTGCCTCAGGGCCAGTGGGGACCAACCTTCTCTCCAGGCTCTCCTCTCTCTAGGCAGATTGGTGTGTCCTGCTGGGCTCTGGCACTCAGCTAGGCCCAGCCTCCTCCTCACAGCAAGCCTCCTGCCTCCCTCTAGGGCCTGTCTGATCCTCTGGTTCCATCCTTCCCACTCCTGCCCACCTCCTTCCTCTCCAGCTCCTCTGCTTCACCTGGCTTCTCTTTCGAACAAGTGTTATTGTTTTGGCTAATTATAAAAGTCGTACTCCCGCAACACACCCCCATCCAAGCAACAAACAGGGCCAGGAAAACAGGGCCACCTGTAAGCCTCCCACCATCCTGCCAATCATAAGGTATGGTCCTTTCAGAATTGCTTTTTGTGCCAGAAATAGTTTTTAAACTTGAGATATTATTATATGCACTGTTTTGTAAGCAGCCTTCTTTGCTTGGTGGGACCCATCAGCCGTCTCTCCATGCCAGTAAATATATAGATCGACAGCATGGTTTTAATCGCTACAAATTCCACTTGCATGGCAGACTCATTAGGGAACCCTATGTTGCTGTGCACATGGGGGTTGCAAGGCACACTTTTCTCCTCTCTCACCTCCCTCTGAAGCCTCCTGAATGCATTCTGTCTCTTTCTCTCTCTCTTTCCCTCCCTCTCTCCCTATCTTCCATTTTCT